AGGAGTGAGGATGAGAGAGAAACAGGAGACTTAAGATAATCAGGCTATTCTGAACCTTGAGCTGCCAATGATACAAAAATAGTGTAGTTCCATTTCTGTGAGCACCTGCTGATGATTTGTGTCTTATTTCACAAATTTAAAGTTTTACCACTCTGCTATCAGTCATCATTATTTTTTACTGAGTTATCTTAGAGAGAATGAGTCTTTAACTGGTGTTTGTGAGACTTTTTTACTTCCTTTTGAACAAAAAGAGTCAAGTTATTTTGAGGAATACAGTGACAGTTTAACAAAAGTGATGGTAACCATATATATTATTTAACATTTTCAGTTGCATGAGTCATTTTCTTGTAATTTGTATGAAGAATACGAGAAGTATCTTTAAAATGGCTGGGGAAACTTTCTTGTGTGTGCATCAAATATGAAACTGCCCTTGATTAATAAACCTTTGAGAATATTTTTCCATTTATCGGTGCTCTCCAAATCAAAATACTTTTAAATTTCATTTCAGTTGGGTAGTGTTATATCAAATGCTTCACTTCAGTACATAGTGAGATAATTTTTTTTTAAAAAAGCTCCTTATGCTCAGTCTTTGTAATATGTGACAACAGCATCAAATTAGAAGAGAAATGGCTGTTGATTTCTACTCTTTAAGAAAATAAGATTTGTATGTAAACAATTTAAAATAAAGCATCTAATTTGCTTCCAATTATATAGTATATAAAGAATTAGTAATGGAAGCAAATTAGGCATGATTTTTATTTATACTTTTTCAAGTGGGTAAATTGGCCCTTCACCGAATGTAGCCCTCACTCTGCAAACATTTGCTTACTTCCTTACCTTTAGGCATCTAATTATAACTCCTGAAGTCAGGGGGACAAATTCTGTGATCATAGTTTAGCATCCATAACTGTCTGCAGGTTTGGAGGTCAAACAGAGACTTAAACTTACCCTGGAAAGCATACAGAGAAAATACCTTAGGGTGCCAAAGCGACACTGGGATTGCAGTGCACTGTGCAATACTTCCTTGCCAAATATATTATGAATTTGGCAGACTTGGTTTTGGGTTCTGAAGGCTAAATAGTTTTCCAGTGCCCTTCTCTAGGTAAGTAAGCAGGTGTTTATATCTTCATTTCACAAATGCAGGAAGTGGTTTGCTAAATGCTGCAGGCTCAAGAACCTGTTACTGGAGGGAAGGTTAGAACTGAACAGCTCTTGGTTCCCAGTTCTGCATTCTGTTCACCACAAAATGCTCTTCTCCAAGAAAATCTGTGGAAATATGTACATAAATTATAATTATAAACATGTATTAGCTTATTGTGTCCAGTGTATATTCACTGGTAGATGAGTATTAGAGGAATAATAACTAATCCTCTCTGATGGTGTGCAAGACTCCTTATGGTGCTTTATAAATAATAATCCATTCTGTAAAAGATTATTATACTGTGTAGCTCTAGCTACATAGGGCTGCATTCACAAACAGAATTAGGTATGCAGTACCCAATCTTCCATGGGATCTTTCATGTATTGTTTGTGTTATCTTTGTGCAGTTGATTCATCAGAATTAGTTTATCAGGCAGATAATGGACAGGCACTGTATTCTGTTTTTCAAATTATAATGAACAAATGACATTTCTATTTGTTAAAAGTGAAAAATGGATAAAAGATTAATTCCAAATTTCTATTTTTGTGGATCACCATTGCTTATGTAGATAATAGCACAATTTTATTTCTGCGGTATGAAATGCTGTTGGTTTTTTGGTTTTTTTTTTTTTTAAATACACTTACCAGACAAGGCAGTAATGTTAGTCACAGTCTCTGCCACAGGGTTTTGTAAGGGTCTGACAGTATGGGATAAGAAGTGATGAAGTTCTCTGATCCAGAGGCCACTAAAGCTGTAAGCAGGTTTTAGTGGATGATGTACCAGGCCCAAAGGGTAAAGGACTTGACTGAATAGCAGTGGTACATGGTATACAGAAAAGACTGGAAGTGGCTTTTGGTAGTAAGACCATCACAAAATATTCTAAACTCAATTGCAGAATGTTACTTTTACACATGAGGAATTTTCTTTAATTAAAACATTTTATGACCATCCAAGTACCACACCAGAGAAAAGAACTTTAAAAAAACCCAAGATACCTTCAACCCCATTTTTTATAATCAAATCTGCTTCAGTCTGAAAATTGTATCTGTACATTCTTATGTGTAACAGCCTATGTTGATTTTTTTACAGTTGTCTGTATGGGTAAGTGTAAGAATAGTCACAAGGTATATTCTCAAAAGATTGTGATATCTCTATAGAGATTATAAAGTACAGCACCAAATTTTAAGGACTCGGTGTAGGAAGTACCTTGACTAAGTCCATTAATTTACTTATTATTAACCAAATTATTTTGTAGGAAAACAATGCTTTAAAAATTGACCCGTGGAATATGCAGCTGTGATTCCATAACTAGCAAAGTATGTATTCAGTATTTGTACAGTTAGACATTCAGTAAATAATGATAATAAATAATGCTGTACAGTAAATAATACAGAATATCAAGGGTACCAAATTAAAAACAATTCCCAAGGAGAAGACTTGAAAAGAGATTCTGTTAGTGAAAAGAAGTACTTTGCTGTGGGAGAAATACTTTTTATAAACAGAATGAATCACAGAATGTTTCAAGCTAATCTTAAAAAGCCTCATCTCAACATTTGTCCTTTTCATTCTTTGCCCAAACTTATTTTGTGCAGTCACAGTGTCTTTTCTCCATATATAAATATTGAACAATTATAGTGTAAGTTCAGATCTGCAGACTTCATACACATCAAATGTGGGCTGTGCATTCAGAATCTTTCTCTGCTTCAACCTCTCACAAGCTGATGGTAAAAATCTTCAATAGTTCCTTTCTTATCCTTCATATCCTGCATACATTTCCTTTCAGAAATGTAGGCAAAAGAAACAGTCATTCCTCTACAAGCTGGAAATCTCATCCTGCCTCAACCACCTTCCATAGCTGCCATGACTAACAGTTTTTGCCAGTTTATATGGTTAAGACCTTAATGATACACCCATTGCAATATTTCTGAAAAATATTCAAAAATTATATCTTTAGATTGAGCTGCTACCCCTGAGTAAATGGTATGTTTAGACGATCTAGGTCTGAGATAAAAATGTATTTTGGATCTCAACTATTCCTTTTCAGGTATCTAACTCATGTGAGCTTCACTCAGATTTGGACAATAAATTCCTTAAATTTCTAGACTGTTGACCCATTCTCTAAGATATAACTTTGTTTTCAGCATAGACTTCCCTGCGTTTTAAACTTTTTGAGATGTTTGGTTTCATGTAAATAAAAATTTAAGGCTGTCTATCCATAGTTTATCAAGCTATTTTCAGGCTTTCCTTATCAAAAATTCAAATTAGTTTCTTTTGATTATGTTTGAAATGCTTCAGTAATAGGATGGAGGGCATTGAATCAGCCATTCTTTACCTGAAGCTTTATTCTTCTTTTGGCATAAAATTTATGCCCTTCGTTCTGTTATTTAGGATCTTTTTTGTCCATTTCCATGCTGGAATCTCTAACAATATTTGTAATCTGAAATACATAGCTGAGTGATGAAACACGGCTTAGAAAACACTATTTTGAAAGAATGGCTGAGTGCCTGCAATTTCTATGATGTTCAGGACAATATATCTGTATTTTAATCAGCTGGCTGCAAATGAAGAAGCATGCCATTGTATGATTAATGAAAACTGCTGTTTTTAAAGTTATGGTAATATATGTATGTTAAAGATGTAGACTATTCTTTATAGTTATTAAAGTTTGCTATTAACTTCAGCAACATTGTGCACAAACGTCAGACTACTTGCTGTATTGTACAACTCTCAGCTTAAAGAAATGTACTTTTATTCAGTGATGGTGCATTGATACTATGAAGTGAGCATAATTTAACTTCAAATGTCCTGCTATGTTTCCAATTAACCATTAAGTTGTTATTTACATAAACCCAAATGTTTTGATAGGAGAAAGAAATTGATTTAGCCAGAAAAAAAATCAGACTATACAGATCAGTTCAATAAGCAAGAGTTCTTGATGTCTTATAAGGCAGTGGCTTCACAACTCCTGGGACAAATTGCAATTTGACTGACTGCCAATAAGTGAGGTCATACTCGTATCTTTTTTATTTGCTTATTTTTAATTTGTGGGTGAAGACTGTGCTCATTAAAGTGAGGAACTCTACACGAGTTTTAGCCAAGTGTTACCATATTCTATATAATGAATTGTGTACACTTGTATCCTTCTCAATAGTTCATCTAATTTTCCTTGGAATTGCATGGCGTACTTTATTATTTAAGTATTTTTCCAGTCTGTACTATTTATATTTCTGGTACAAACCTGTATTTGATTACACTTGTAAGTAAATACTTTGTTTTTAATATGTGCTCTTCTACTATGGAAGTGAGCTTGTTGCGATTTTTTTTTTTTTTTTTTTTTGCTTTGTTTTGACAGGTAAGAGAAATAATTGACCAGGCAGCTGAGTTAAAGTTATTCTCTGCATTTTGGGATTTATAATGAATACAGTGAATTTTAATTACTGTAGATCTTTACAGCTTTATGTTGTTTTCTGGTCATAGTATGGAGTAGAAAATATTTTCATCATCTATTTTTAGCAAAATAAATAATTTTTTTCTGGGTTTCTTATTGTTAATAATGACATGGCCCTTTCTTCAAATTTTGTTGGTTTAATTGTTGAGTTCATAGGAGAAATACTGAGGAGATCTATTTGGGTGGCAGGTAGATACAAGTGGCTTAATGCCTTGGCCACAATGCTAAGCAATATCAGATCACTGAGGCCTGTGACAGTTAAAATAACCAGATTGTGTCTGTAAATGTTTTTCCTTTTGAAAACGTAAACTTTCAGCATTAATGCTGCTATTACCAGAATGTTGCTGGCATTACTCCTGTGTTAGAAGATAATTACTGGACTCATTCCTGACATGTAACATTTATTTTCTTCAGGGAGGTGGGTGGACAAGCACACAATGCTCACTGCTGAACTACTGAAATTGGGTAAGTTCTCCTGTTGCCTTCACTGGTACTGTGTGGCTTCCAAAATATGTAAGGAGTTGATGGAGAAAACATCTGTGTAATTCACATTACTAGAGAAATTTGTTTATTATACTTTACATTGTTGTTCCTATTCTTGTATATAGTGAGGCTGCTAACAGTTTGATTTTTGATTGCCTTTTAGGCTTTTCAGATGACCTACATGGAGCTTTTTATTTTGATTTTTACTGACTAAGGTGTTTTCTTGTGTTATTTCCTGCTTTGTCACTCTGTAAAAGCATCCAAAATCACCCTAGCTTGGAGGACTATCACATGTGCTGTGAACCATTTAAGACTTCATAATAAATGCATTTCCCAGATAGAGACTAAAAAATCTTTTGGAGGGCTCAGTGTATCTTACTTCTACCTAGATGGAGAGCTAATGCTGTGGACCTGACCTATAACAAATGGAAAGAAAAAGAAAGAATTACAATGTGATTCAGGGATCACTTCTTCACTGGGTTATACACATTTCCCACCTTTCTGTCCCAGCATTTTGATTGTGTCCTTCATCCTTTATGGCTCTTCCTCTGTAAGGAAGATGGTCCTATGTGGTGCCCCGAAGGCATTATTTCCCCCTTAATAAAATGCCATACCTTCTTCTGAACAGTGCAGGAGTGTATGTTCTGAGCTTTGGTGGACTGCCAGCTCCACTTACTGTGTGGAGGGGGACTAAACGCGCAGAAGTACAATCCCGGTCAAGCCTTTCATTCCCTACAGAATGTATGAACATGTCTGAAAGCAGCTGTGCTTGCTCTGGCTGTAAGGATAGTAGTTCCAAAAAAATGTAACCAGCCTTTCCCATGCCATGAGTTTCACTTAATTACATAATTACAGTTCCTTCTCTAGCCTCTGGTAAGAAACTTAAACAACAAACTAGCAAATTTTAGAAAGCTATGAAATGAGAGGAAATCGAGTAACTATCAAATGGACTTTCATTACTCTCTATTTATAATAACATGCATAAAATTGCGAAGAATCAAGTAGAAAACTTGAACTTCTATGAAAGACATTTTGCACTGTATGTATTGTTGAGTTAGTGTGAAATACCTGTTTAAATTGGCTCTTTCTGTTGTTTTCTTGTCATACATCTTAATGTCAGCAACATCTGCAATGGACTTGCAATGCAGATCAGTGCAGATTATCACCAGTTAATAAAGAGTCAAAAGCAGGTTTAAGGTAGCACAATCTCTCCAGTTTATTTCTATTGATAATCTACACATACACATGTTTTCAATAAAAACTTACATTAAACACAAAAGTTATGTACAATGTGATACACGAATGACTTCATTATTGGCATAGCATTTGCTTGTCCAAGATGAAAGCCTACAGCTTAGTTGTCTCCTCTTCTGATCTTAGCTCCAAATACTACTTTTTAGCTAACAGTGCTCTAAAGAATGATTTGAGCTCTCATTTTGACACAGATCTCGCAAGAGAGGTACTCTTAACTTTATGTACATCCCTAAAATCAAGAGGGAAAATATGAAATTATTGAATTCAGAGGATCATTCCTTAAACATTGATTCTCAGAGAGAATGGAGATCATGGGGGAATCTTTCATCTTAACAGTGTCATTTTAAGTCATGTCATAAAAAAGATCAAAATTTCAATAATTTCAACTGGAAGTTTTTGGATGCACTGCTGACTCATGAAATGTGAACTGTAGCTTGCAAAACGATCTCAAGGATGTCCAGAAATCACAACAGATGAAAAGGAAACCATATTCCCCAGCCCCAGAGGCAATTTTGAAAATATAATTCTAGTTATTAGTGGATCTTATTAACCATACAAAACTTCTGCCTTATCTTTGTTACCACAAGAAATACTTTTTCTGAGAGTACTGTTTCTGAAGATGATATTTATCCCTATTGATTGCCTTTGAGATGGTGGCACTTTCCATTTTATGGAAATACTATAAAGCTTTGAACACTGAGTTTCAGAAGGGCTCTAGGGGTGAACAAACTGTCTAGGACCCCGAGACCTACAGGGTGTAAACTGAATAAATTAAACAGTGCTACAAATTATCTAGCGTTTGAATAGAGGAAAAATAGCAATGCCTCAGCCCCTGCAAGTGTTCCACACAAGGCTACTAGCTTTGTTTAGTTCTGACTAACAGGTAGGCATTTGCTATCAGTCCAGCAGCTACCATGGATGATAGAAATAGGCTTAGCAGTTTAACATTTAGTTATAGACTGCTTCATTTTTATGGATCTTATGAGCCCTTAAAGTGCTCTCACAGTAAGTGCAAACCCTGCAGGTGAATATTGTACAGTCAAACAACCCACTGTTTCCAAGGAAAGGCTTTTAGGATCAGAGTTTTTTATAGTTATGTACATGTTATGGGCCCACACTATCTAATCAACCTTTCACCTTGTATCCAAAAAAGCTTGCCCTCCCACCTGTGTTTAAGGGCACTCTCAAGAATTGGCTGGGGTCTTCTGTAGAAGGGTCACATATGTAGCAAACCTTTTTGGATTTATAGTGGTAGCAGCACGGGATGACTGCAAGTACAGTATTTCTTCTTAGTAGTTTTATTATTATTAATTATCATGAGTTTTTAGTAATACAAGGATTAGTAGTAAAATCAGTAATCATTGCATCTTCAGTGGTATGTATCTGTGGTTGCTGTTACTCCGTGTGTGAACAAATTATGTATTTGGTCTTAGAGTAGCACAATGTCACTGTGATTATAGATGCCTAAATGAGCACTACATGCATGTGTAGTGTATCCAGCTCCCCCATGAGTGGTAGGTGATACAAATGAATGTGTTCTTCAGTAATATGTCCAGACAGCATAATACAACATCTTACTGATTTAATAGACATTTTGCTACATTACATGCACCTAAAATGGGTAAGGAAAGGAGCATCCAGACTCCATATTTGCATTGTTTGCGAGTCTTTGTCTATCTCTGCCAGGACACAAAAGTTGTCAGAGGTCAGTAGACTTTTTGTGAGCACTAAGTCTGAACATTCAGTAACTCAGTATGAAAGCAGAAGCAACATTGCATAAGCATTGACAGTACGGAACAAAATACACTTAGATTAAAAATTTTTAATCTTAAGATTTTTTTGCATACAGTAGGCCTAGCCCTTTCAGAGATGAAAATAAGCAGATTTCTGAGGTCCTGAATGCAAATCTTGATGTTAACTGTTTGAATTTATGAAATAAATAAATAAAATATCCCCAAATGGAGCCCTGCTTGAAGCGCTGAACATGCCAGTGGCAAGTTCTGCTTCAGACTCCAAGAGATAAAGTACGTTAGCGCGTATCGGTTAGTCTAATTTATTCAGTGTCATTGCCATATCACAACCTTCTGTTTGATTTTCTTATAAACTAATAATTTCCTGAATGAACTAATACTGCCACAGCCACTAGTACCTCTGCCTTGTAGAAGTTTTTTATTGTTGTGTATGCAACTAAATTGAAATATCTTTCACTTGAAATATTGACTTTAATATCTCATTTGAAAAATTCATGAAGCCTTTGATGTTAAATCCATACTCAATTTAGCCAAATGCCATTAGAATATGCAATACGCCTGAATACAGAGAGCATTATTGTCTGTGTTTCTGCAGAAGAATTACATTTTATGACTGTAACGTCAGGATCTTTTTTGGATTTGTTCATGAAGAAAAGAAAGGCAGCACATTAGAAGCAAAATGAAAAGTGGTATTGATTAGGCTCTCATTTACCCTCTCTTTGCTTCAATCCCTAAATGCATGGAAATAAGGGTTGTGCCACAGCAAGTAACAATGCTCTGTAATGAATGGAACAATCTTTAGAAAATTAGTGTAAACATGTATGATAGTGCACAGATGTTGCTCCTAGTAACTGTCATACATTTATTTTACATCTCCATTTACATACGTCTCTTTATTTCCTAATAGTATCATAATAGAAACATGACAATAGTTAATGATTTCATAAAACATGGAATGTAAAGCTGACAGAGAGGTAGAACATTAATTGAAACCTATAGCTATAGTACATTAGAATTACATCTCCTAAATGACTCATGATAAAAATATCCCTCTTATACAGAGGAAGACAAAGACAGGTAAAAAACTAGGCTTTCAGCAAATTAATTTTTTTTTTTTCCAGTAAAACAGAGACTGGCAAATGTTGCAAAATCTCCTGAGTGCTAATAGAATGGTATTTGCCTTTAGTAATTTATGGGCACTTTTCCCCCAGCTATCGATCACATTTGAAAAAAGTAAACTGCATTAACATTTTAGGCAATAATGGCTCCAGAAAATGTTTGATTCTTATCACTACCAAAACTAATGTCATGATACTTGGTTTTTAACAGATATGGGAGAGCAGAGTGCATCCAGCCTGTAGCATACTTATGCAAGTGCCCAGGTCTAACTGAATGAACTGGATGTACACCAATGCTTTGAGCTTTGTTACGTTATCTTAAACCATAGAAAGTAAGTTGATGGCATAAGTCAGGAGACTGCTGTGTAGCAGTGTAATGAGGTGTCCAGAGGAGTTTGGGGTCTGAGGATTAAAATTACTGTGATAAACCAAGTGAGGAAGGAGGAAGGGAGAACTGCTCTCTGCCACCATCTTCTGGCCAGTCCTTGGGACATAAACTGCCTCTGTTTCATCTGAGTGGTTTACCAAGTTTCCTGTTGCCTTCACTAATAGGACAATCACAGCTATTTTAAGCAAGCTCATACTGGAAAAATAACACACTTTTAAAATTTCCAAAAGATTCTTAACAAACTCATGCAGATGTATATTAAAGTGAACAATGCAAAATGCCAGACTAAGGGACTGGGAAGCTCTGTGAATGAATCCAGAGCATTAGTGCCTGTGATTTTGTTCTTGGAATTATGGTACTACTAACTACATAGGTGCAGAGGCAGCTTGAAGAATTAAGTCTGACTCACTCCTTACTAATTTTTTTCTTGCTTTTGTTGATGCCCTTCTATTTAATGATTTGTTGTACTCA